AACGTAAGGTAAAATTACCACAGATGTACCAATTTAGAATTGATAATTAAAAAATTAATTTGAGGTAAATTTATCATAAAAATATTAATTTGAAATTTTTCGTGGTTTAACCATTTATTTTCATTCTACTTTATGTGCCAAAGCCTTGAAACAAGGCAGCGTGGTTACCAAGGTTGTTAGATTTTCTTCAAATAGTTAGTAGTTTACCTTTTTTTCGCCTAGTAACAATGTAACATGATGCCTGAGATTCTCCTAGTGCTGAGTTGATTGCCACTGAACATGATAGGTAGCTAGTATCTAGTTCTAGAAAATTTATTAAGTGCTCTTGATTCATGTAAGCCTACTTCAGTCGAAAGTACCTAATAATCTCATAATTCTATGTACACCATTCATGGTGGCATGGTGCACAACCGATTCATGGCACAACACATCTAATTCGGTATATCAACTCAAAAGCTTAAATTGAAAAGTGGAGAAAACTCACATATATATAAAAAGCATGTAAACCCTATAATCAAATGATGTGATATATTTCAACAATGAACATTTAATTGGTGAGCTAATAGAACTCTATAAATAAAATCTATTAAAACAAACTCGACATACTCCATGAATGAGCTCAAATATTGTAGTGCATAATCCGTTGGATTTACAAGTGAATTCACTCTTTTTAATGCATTTATATGATTCACTTAGATTATGATACACATCAAAATTGCATGTGTAATTTTTACCTTTAGGAGGTTCCCACGTTTTAACATGTGAGCTCAATAGATCAAATACATCAACATAATTGAGTTCATAGTTTATTATTCATACTTAACGATGTCCTTATCGTGATTTGCCTCAATTTTTACTGGGTCATGAATTATGTACATAAGCTCAATAAGCCTATTGCATTTGTACCTTGCACTATGATGTCTTAATTCTCATCCATGTTAAGCTCAACTTGGGCAATTGTGGTCAACCCAAGTCCTTAAAATCTTTTGGGCTGTTTAAGTCTCGTATTAGGTCTCAACTATATACACCTACCGAGTATCTAAGTGCAAAATATAACGGGCACTAAAACGTAGATCGGGAAAATGCAACTTAAATAAAAAGGAATGTTTGTATTGGCATATGTATAGAAACGAAGAGCATAGCGTGTCGATGAAGCATATCATATTTAAGGACACTCGGCACGCAGTCGTGTCTCAGCTAGGGGTGTCAACGGTTCGGTTCGGTTCAGTTTGGTTTTCCTGAAAAACCGAACCGAACCAAACCGTTTAGGTGTGTGTTTGATTTGAACCAAACTGCGAACCAAACCGATATAATCCGAACCAAAAATCCGGTTCGGCTCGGTTCGATTCGGTTCGATTTTTCGGTCTCTTTTTTTGCCCCACTCAACTCTTCTCTTTCTCTTTTTATTATTTTTTATTTATGTTTAGCCATGGAAATCGATGAATCGGCAACGAAGAAGAAGCACAATCTGTCGTCATCACTCGCCCAGACCACAATCCAATCTCACAATCCTCAACACCCCTTTCCTCTCCGTCCCCATCTCCATCTTTCAACCTCCCCTCTTCCCGCCTCGCACCGTCCGCTCTCCCCTCCGGATCCGCCACCCCATCAACCCCCGCCGCTCTTTCCCCAGCGAGATCTGACCCCACGCGCCACCATAGCAGCTGTCGGGACCATGGTCGTCTCCGGGAGGCCGATGAAGCGCATGAAGAGGCGAGTCACGGCCGACCTCTTCGACTTCCTTACCTTGCCCTCCTCGTCCATCGGCGGGGTAGGGGGCCTCTTCAGGGTGAGGGTGAAGGAGTTTCTGTCCAGGCATGCGGCGCCGCCGCCGCCGTCGTCGGTGTTCCCAGACGACGTGCAGTTGCTGTTCCGGGTGGGGGACGTGGTGACGGGGGCCCTGAACCGTCGCTGGCGGTGGTGTGCCTGGACGTGGGGAGGAGGAAATTTCCAGAGTTTTGGGTTTTGGGAGTGGTGAGAGCGTCGAGCATGGATTTTAAACTTTTTCTGGTTCGGTTCGGTTTATTAACCGAACCGAACTAAAATAATACGAATCGATAAAAAAAGGATGGTTATTTATCATTATCCGAACCAAAACCCGAACTGAACAAAAAATGCATAAAATTTCGGTTCGGTTCGGTTCGGTTTCAATTTTCGGTTCGGTTCTTGACACCCCTGGTCTCGGCACGAGAGAATTCTTTACAAACCCTTACTTTATATGCGTATGTATGTATGTATGTATGTAAGTGTGTGTGTGTGTGTGTGTTAGCTTCTTATGGAGTTTTCTTGGCCAAGTCCCACAAGCACACTCACTTTCCACGTTGTTGCGTCACCTTTGACGCGGACTCCAAATTGCGTCGACTGGGCTGAATTCCATGGCCACCCAAATTGAGGAAAAGGCGTAGGTACTCCCACCCACGCGTTTCGTGCTAAGCTACCACTAAATCAAGAAATTAAGGATGCTTCGGGCCGAGAGCAGAGAAAGTGGACCAGAAGCTTTCTTCTCTTGTTTAAGCAAACTTCAATTGTTGAGGACGAAACTGCGTGAGGATGTAGGGAATCTCAAGAAAAGGGCTTGACTTGACTCGTCGACACTTCAAAGTCTTCCCTACCCCACAGTCTGACAAGATCGCCATCTTCATTTATCACTTCAGTCTGTGTGGTTGTTCTTCTTCTCTAGATAACCCTTTTTTTAGTAGTATCGAGTCTCTTCCGTTTGCTATCTGCTTCGAGAAATAGCCCGGTCTCTCTACACATCGGTCGTTGCACTCGTTCTTGATTTTGTCTGTGCGAAAGAAACGATGGACAGAGACCAGCGCGAGCTGCAGTTCCTTGGGTTCCTGGGCGTCTACAGAGAGACCTCCAGGATCATCCTCAAATGGAGGAAGGTCTTCGCTCAGATCACGCTCGCGCTCATCCTCCCTCTCTGCGTCATCTTCCTCGCCCACTTCTTGGTCTCGCAGCTCCTCTCCTTCGAGATCCTCAACCACGAGATCGACCGGGACGACGCCTGGGAGGACAGCCCGAGGTACAGGTACCTGTCCCGCATGCTCAAGAAGGAGTGGGTCGCTTTCTGGCTCTTCAAGCTCGGCTACTTCATCTTCGTCTTCATCTTCTCTCTGCTTTCGACCTCGGCTGTTGTCTACACAGTGGCCTGCGTCTACGCCGCCAAGCAGATTACTTTCAAGAAGATCATGAGTGTTGTGCCCAGAGTGTGGAAGAGGCTCATGGTCACTTTCCTCTGGAGTTTCGCAACCTTCTTTGTGTTCATTGTTGCGGCTGTCGGGCTTTTGATCGTATGGGTCGTCATCGTGAGGCATTTTATGGTTGGCCCTGCACTTGGGATTGCCATGTTGGTGATTCTCTTGATCTTGTACGTTATTGGGTTTGTTTATATCACCATGATTTGGCAATTAGCGAGTGTGATCTCGGTTCTTGAAGATGTGTATGGAAGGAAGGCGATGGTGAAGAGCAAGAGGCTGATAAAGGGCAAGATGGGTGTGTCGGTTGGCTGTTTTCTTGGCGTCCTGGTGTGCTCTGTGCTGGTTCAGGCATTGTTTGAGTGCTTTGTGGTCTTGGACTTGTTTTATGGGATTGGAATCAAGATTGGGGTTGGACTGATCTGCTTGTTGTTGCTGATAATGGTGGTCCTTTTTGATTTGGTCGTCCAGACAGTGATCTACTTTGTCTGCAAGTCCTACCACCACGAGAACATTGACAAGTCCACCTTGTCTGATCATCTCGAGGTCTATCTTGGAGACTATGTCCCTCTGAAGGCCAATTCTGTCCAGCTTGAGCAACTTCACGTCTAATTTCTGTATTCCCCGTGTTAGTTTGAGAGTTTTCTGCATCATGGTTTTGGTGTGATTGAAAAACTTGAAGGTCATGAAGTTATTAGTCTTAAGATAATAAAGTTTGCAGCTTGGAGATGTATAAATGTTTGATATAAGTGTGCCTTTTACACGATGTGCTTTTACACGATGTGCTCTAGGTCAAGGGAAAAATAAAAAAAAAATTACAATGTGCTCTAGCTTTTCTTTGTTTCACTTTTACATATGTTAAGCTTTTGTCACTATCATGATGAGAAATCTTTCTCAGTCCTAAACCGGATTAGGACAAAATAAATTGTGGGTTGATTAGAATATATCATAAAACAGAATGTAAGAAGGAGTTACGCAAGTTCCTGTCAGATTCATTACAGGACCCTAGTAGCTTCGCTTAATACCTGTCTTCCCATCAAGCGGATGAATGAACCGCCATGCTATCGAGATGTCGGCATCCATCCTTTGGACAAAACAATGAGAATCCCATCCATGGCGATGGAATAAAGTTCGATATCTCGGTAATGATGCTGCTGTATAAGAAGATGATCATTATTGCAGACTGACGGGAAGAGATGGCAACCCCTAAATTAAAAAATGAAGGAGGCTTTCGACTCTGTTTTTTCCCTTCCTAGAATTCTTCGCGTGGCGTATCATATGGTACAAGCGTATCATCGGGTACAAACTGGAGTCATGCTAAAATAATGCAGACAAAAAGTCGAAGCATAGTTTTATTAAATACCTGTAATTTGATGTTATGAAAACAGAGTTATTTTATCATTTGCTCATGCCCGATGTAGATTATTAGACATGCGAATGGCTAATTTTCCCTTACCACATAGTTAATCAATTCTTATTTTTCTTTTTGGATTCATACTCTAAAAGAGAATTAGAAAAAGGAGGGAAAGAATAAAACTGGCTGGAGCATTAGTATGATGGTATCTATCAGTGTAGGCATATTTGTTTTCCTTTTCAGACTCTAACCAAGAAATTACATCAAACAACGTGGATTGCAATCCACGCAGAGACCCGCGACGTAATCAAAGTGTCAATCTAGGAGTCAACCTCCTTAGTCATGTACGTGTGTGTTTAAATATGGATGGTTTCTCTCAGCTTCATCATCTGCAGAGTCTCTGAACCACCCTTATGGAGGACCAGATAAGCCGAGTGTTAACTAAGATGGATAGTGATGAAGAGAAGCTTCAATATCTCGGGTTCCTTGGCATCTTCAAGGAGTCCTTCAAGATCGTCGTCTCATGGAAGAAAATCTTCACTCAAATCACGCTCTCTTTTATCCTTCCTCTCTCCATCCTCTTCTTAGTTCAAATCCATGTTTCTGAGTATCTGGAAAGAAGAATTCGATTTGTAAGATACAGACTTTATCACAGGGGAGATGAGGATGAATACCTATCATCCGAGCGTCTAGAATATTGGCTCATCAAAATAGCATACTTGGTCTTCCTCCTCGTGCTTTCTCTTCTCTCTACTTCCGCGGTCGTATACACTGTGGCCTGCAATTACACGGGGAAACCCATCACCTTCAAAAAGATCATGTCCGTGGTCCCGAAGGTGTGGAAGCGAGTCACCATCACATTCATATGGAGTTTCTTGATCCACTTGGCCTACAGCTTATGCTTCCTGGGGGCTATCGTCATGTGGGCGATGCTAATCGGTTTCTCATCAGTCGGGATAGCCATCTGGTACGTCCTCTTGATCCTATTCTTTGTTGGGTTTGTGTACCTGAGCATCGTCTGGCAGCTGGCAAGCGTGGTCTCCGTCCTAGAGGAGGAGAACTATGGGATCAAGGCAATGGTCAAGAGCATAAATCTGATTGAGGGCAAGCGACGAGTCACGAGCTTCATCTTCCTGCTGCTGGTCTTGTTCTATTATGGGATATTGATAGTGTACCAGTTGTTTGCGGTGTATTCATGGAACATAGGAACCATGGTAGGCATCGGTATCCTCTGCCTCGTCCTGCTGATGTTCCTGTTCCTGTTCGGCCTCGTGATCCAAACAGTGATCTACTTCGTCTGCAAGTCATATCACTGCGAGAGCATCGACAAGCCGGCCTTGGCCAACCATCTGGAAGCTTACTTTCAGTCTGAGCCTCAGAGGGATGCCACCAAGGATGTCCAGCTAGAGCAAGTTCATGTCGCCACCAAGGATGCACAGCTGGATCAAGTTTATGTCTGAAGTTCAAATTGGAACTGTGTACTATCTGAATAAGAGCCGAACCAACAAACATATATGGTCCTTAGCTTTAAGTTTGCCAGTGCACCTACGAGTGTCGTATAAGTACGTTTGATCTTAAGCCATGTGTACTTCTTGATGTGTTTGACGTAGGGAAAGTGAAAGAAATACCCAAATGAAATGCGCTTGTATCAACAATCAGTACTAATAAGTACACAACTACTTTGTAGATTCTTCTTATTCTAACTCCTGTTATACTGTTAAAGTTGGGTGTATCTCATCTGTCCTGATCTGGTAACTAGCCAGGACTAGCAACCCGCTTAATTTGGTATATTAGATTTTCGTATAAAAAATCAATCCAATAAATGGAAGTTGGAGAAGAAAGCTAGATGTGGAAATCTTCTGTTGCCTTGATGAGAGAGAGAGAGAGAGAGAGAGAGAGAGAGAGAGAGGCTTCCGATTGATGAAGAACCTGACGGACAAGGTTTCCATTCTGTACTGTGACACAGATATATTAAGTTGTTGATCTGGCAAACAGCATTTCTTCCATTAGATGAGATTACCATGTCAAGAGTTTGTCACAGATGTTATTCCTGGACATTATTTGCCCGAGGATGTTCTGTGATTTTATTGGTCTTTTCGGGCAATAAGAGGTAAAAGCTCGTCTCATCTCGTCATGATTAGTGTTTCTCCCATCTCGCTTCCTTCTCCCTTCGTATGGTCTACTCAAATGTCCAGCAGTCACAATTCTCGACAAGCTGCGAGAGATTGTGATGATATGCTATGAATTGCCACCCTTTAGAAATTTCCTAAGCCGATCTGCTAGTTGCTCTACTTACCCTTTTGCCACCGAATATGGTTCAGACCATTAATTCGAAGAGAATCTGTAGCTCAGGAATGAGTGAAGTTGGACGCTGTAGCCAATCTCTCCACTCAAGTTGAACAGCTTTAGTTTCTTTGGACTCTTGAACAGTTTTAATTGCTAACCAGAAGTTACCATTGGTTGGATATAGGGGTGAGTAAACGAGCTTGTTCAACTCGGGACAGGTCCGAAGCGGTCTTACCCGGCCTGTTTAAGGTTGACTCATGAGGGGACCGATCTTTAGTTCCCGGTTTAAAAAATGGGGAACCGGCCGGTTTGGTTCCTAATTGTATGCCCAGAACTTGCCGTGAACTTGTCGTTAGATCCACAAACTTGAAACCTAGAACCGAACCGGTTTAACCCAAATCCTAAATAAGTTCTTGAACTCTTTTTCTATGATGGAAAATACCTGTTAAAATTAAATATGTTTGACATATTATCCTCAAGTAGAAATAATTGTATTCATATATGACTTATGCATGTATATAATAAAATGTAACAACAAAAAAGCCTCGGCCGATTCTCGGATTGACCCTAGAATTAGTTCTAGCCTGATTCCAAGGTCAACAGGATCATTATATTGGTTCCAAAAGTTGGGATTTAATTATAACATGATAGATTCCATATTCCATTCTTGGAACCTCCTCACATTTGAATCGATCACCGCTCTTGTATTTAGGGGACAGCAACAGGGCCGGTTCAATTTGGGAATTGGACTCGGCCGAATCAAGGCTGATCATAGGGGCACCAAGAACTAGGATTCAACTTCACTTCCCGATTCTATACCCTGAACTGATTGATTATACTTGGAACTAGGAACCCAAAATTTACAAGGTCGATTCCTTGATAGAGCCTTGAGCCGAAGACCCAATCGAACCTAAAATTTGCAAGGTCAATTTTATCAAGGGTTAACATCACCAAAAACCTCAAGCTGGTACACCTGTGACAAATTTATCTAAAACTAATTTTTTGACCACTAAAAACCCCAAATTGATACACCAATGACAAATTTACCCTCCATTAGTTTTAGTTAAATTTTACTGTTAAATTGCTAAGTTGGATGACACGTGACAGTCGAAAGGTGTACCATTTTACGGTTTTACCCTTGCGTTTGTCACATATTTACCAATTTGTGATTTTTTGTGGTATTAATTCAATTTTACGGAGGGTAAATTTGTCACAGGTGTACCGGTTTGGGGTTTTTGGTGGTCAAAAAATTAGTTTAGCGTAAATTTGTTACATGTGTACCAATTTGAGGTTTTTTGTGATAAAAAAATTAGTTCGGGATAAATTGTCGGAAATGTACCAGTTTATGATTTTTCGCAGTATTAACCCTTTTATCAATGTACTCCTAAATCTTTATAGCGCCAATTTTAACCTGACAATGCTTACATACTGATTTAGTCATTGTCAGCTGTCCCATTAGTCATTGTCAGCTGTCCCATTAGTCATTGTCAGCCGTCCCATGTGACGTGCCGACAATTTGCCATGACCAAATTTCCTCAAAACACATCGTTTTTCAAAAAAAAAAATTTATGAACTTCTGATTTTTTTCCTCTCTTATTTTTTTTTTCTTTCATTTCCTTTTCTCACTGTTCATCACCTCCAACCTACTGTTCATCGCTGGAGGATCTCTGTTTAGTAATCAATTCCTGATGGAGGTGGAATCCCTTGATCTCTTGATCGATTGCTTCCACATGGGACTGAACTTGTTCATAGGCCGCTGAGGCAGATCTTGCTTGATATATCCTCTCGCCACGGCCCGAAAACGGCGCGCCATGGTGTGGAGATCACAGCAGAAGCTCAAATTGCTCATCAAGACCTTCAAGCCCATCCCTTTCAGCAGCCTCCGTCGGTTTGACCCTAGCCGAGCTCGAGGCTTTGTGGGTTTGGCACGTCGTTTCTTCTCGATCGGTTCGGATTCGGAGGTTCGTGCACGGAATCGAAAAAGGATCCTGGATCTTCCTTCCATCTTGCATTCCGAACACCGCGGCATGGGCTGAGAAGTGTTCGAGAAAATGCCCGAGAGGAGTGCGGTTTCGTGGAATGCCATTCATCGATGCCTTGGTTCGGTTTGGTGAGTTCAATGCTGCGAAGTTGTTTGAGCCGGATGGGTACATGTAGAGCATGTTTGAGTTCTCACACCATGAAGGAGATGAACAATAACAAAAGGAAAGTAAGGAAAAGAAAAGGAGAGAAAAAAACGAAAGAACAAAAGAAGAAAAAATAAAAAAAAAATTAAGCAAAAAGGACATCATTTTGGGAAAATTTCGATTAACGTCAAATTGCCGACCACAACACATAGTCCAGCCGACGATAATTGAGCGTCACATCAACAATTTTAGGCCAAAATTAGGAAAAATAATTAGATTGAAATTTCATGCAAATGTTTGGGACAGCATTGGTAACTTTGAAAAGTTTAGAACTGAATTATTATGCACACAATATGATTAGATTGATTTGCTAATTTGTCCCATGAAGTTGCTTTGTAGATGACGTTGTTGATTTGGCAAATCTCTGTAGTTATTCGTGCCACGTGGTATGACGCATGTTCGTACGTATGATTGATATCTTCTATTCAAATAATTTATCACCTAAATAAATGGTATTTTATTCCCTAGCAATGCTTATTGACATTGACACCTTAATAGCATGGGGTATACCTTTGGAAGCGAACATGGTAAGGAAGGCGTGATGGGTTCGAGTTACTTTTCTTTCATGGAACTAATTAACTTTGGGCCAGTTTGGTCGTCTCAAATATAATAGATAGATCATTATATTTTCAATCATGAAAAAATATGGACGAGATTAGCCCCCACCTCTCTCTTTTCCTCTTCCTTAAGCTGGACTTTCCTCGTCTTAGTGTATCGTAGCATGGCTTCCAAGGACTGGTCAAGCCGAGAATGCCATTCACGGACAAGAGGGAAAGAGGTATCCTTCAATGAGTTTTAGCTAAGCTTAATTACTGCAGCTAAGGGAAAGAATCAATGCGAGATAGGTCGAGTGTTTTTGCCATGGATTGAGGGATCCGGGAGAGCCGACATCCACGTTTACCTTACCTCTCGACGTAGGGTCGATGATCCTAAAACTAAGATGCATCTAATTTCCAAATGTGACAATGCAACAAGAAATGCTGATGCGGGAAAATGCAGAGCAAACGCTTCTTGTGTTAGAGGTCGAGGTCCGGATATTGACCAATCTGTACTCTCAATTTTGTAATGCGAAATGAGACTTTTGGACCGAATGATTTAGGAGTGCATGAGGGAGAATGGGCCTTTTTAGGTTGAGGGAGATGAAAAATTGTAGGTTGTGAAATGTAAAGATGGTACTTAATATGGGAAGCAAAGTTGAGAAAATTCAGAAAGAAAAAATCATACACACACCCACAGAAAGGAGTGTAGTCCTCTTATGAAAATGAACGACAAAAATCATCCCAGATAGCTAGAGCAGGACTTTGTCATTGCCGCTGTCTTTTGTCCAAAGCATCTGTTGTGCTTCTCGAGCTCCAACCGAGAAATCACATCAAACATTGTAGATTGTAATCCACGCTGAGACGAGCGACGTATCAGATTGTCGATTTTAGGAGTTAACTTCCTCAGTCATCTACATGTGTGTATAAATATCGATGGTTTCTCTCGGCTTCATCATCTGCAGAGTTTATGATTCGCCCTTATGGAGGACCATGTAAGCCGAGTGTTAACTAAGATGGATAGTGAGGAAGAGAGGCTTCGAAATCTCGGGTTCCTTGGCATCCTCAAGGATTCCTTCAAGATCATCTTCTCATGGAAGAAAATCTTCACTTTAATCACGCTCTGTTTTATCCTCCCTCTCTCCGTCATCTTCTTAGTTCAAGTCCAAGTTTCCGATAGTCTGGAAGAAATAATGCAATGGGATCCATATGACCTCGATTGTGGCAAAGACGGTGAAAGATATCATCGCCTCAATGATATCTTAAGATGCGATCGTCTAGCATATTGGCTCATCAAAATAGCATATTTGGTCTTCCTCCTGGTGCTTTCCCTTCTCTCTACTTCTGCGGTTGTATACACTGTGGCCTGCAATTACACGGGAAAGCCCATCACCTTCAAAAAGATCATGTCCGTGGTCCCGAAGGTATGGAAGCGAGTTGCCATCACATTCATATGGAGTTTCTTGATCCACTTGGCCTACAGCTTATGCATGCTGGGGACATTCGTCATGTCGGTGATGCTGATTGGTTTCTCGCCGGTCGGGCTAGCCATCTGGATTATCCTCTTGATCCTGTTCTTCGTTGGGTTCGTGTACCTGAGCATCATCTGGCAGCTGGCGAGCGTGGTCTCCGTCCTGGAAGAGGAGAACTACGGGATCAAGGCCATGGTCAAGGGCAAGAATCTGATTGAGGGCAAGCGACGAGTCACGAGTTTCATCTTCGTGCTGCTGGTCTTGTTCTATTATGGGATCATGATAGTGTACCAGATGTTTGTGGTGTATTCATGGAACTTAGCATTCGATTTAATTGTTGGCATCCCCTGCCTCATCCTGCTGACGTTCCTGTTCCTGTTTGGCCTCGTGATCCAAACAGTGATCTACTTCGTCTGCAAGTCATATCACTGCGAGAGCATCGACAGGCCGGCCTTGGCCAACCATCTGGAAGCTTACTTTCAGTCTGATCCTCAGAGGGAAGCCACCAGAGATGTCCAGCTAGAGCAAGTTCAGATCGCCACCAAGGATGCCCGGCTAGATCAAGTTTATGTCTGAAGTTCAAATTGGAACTCTCTGTACCAGCTGAATAAGAGTGGAACCGACAAACATAGATGGCCCTTAGATTTAAGTTTGCGAGTGTACTTACGAGTTTCGTATAAGTATGTTTGATCTGGAGTCATGTGTACTTCTTCTTGATGTGTTCGACGTGGGGAAAGCGAAAGAAATACCCAAGTGAATGTGCTTGCATCAACAATCAATACTAATAAATGCACAATTGCTTCCCAGATTCTTCTTATTCTAACTCCTGTGATAATGTTAAGTTGGGTTTTTCTCATCCTTCCTCATCTGGCAACTAGCAAGGATTTAGCAACCCGCTTAACTTGAAAAAATATAAGGTCTTAAATTAAAATCAATCCGAGAAATGAAAGTTGGAGAAAGTAAGCTCAATGTGGAAATCTTCTGAAAAAGTGGAAAAACAAGTCTTTGCCTTGATGAGAGCGAGACAGAGAGGCTTATGATTGATGAAGAACCAGATAGAAAGGGTTTTAATTCTGATATCATGACACAGATACAATAAGTCATTGATTGAGCACACAACTTTTCTTCCATTAGATGAGACTACCATGTCAAGGGTTAGAACTTCGCACAGATATTACTCCTCGACCTTATTTTCCCAACGATATTCGGCGATCTTATAGGTCTTTTCGGGCAATAAGAGGTAAAAACCGAGGGATTGTATGCTATAATATGAATCGCCACCTTCACAAATTTCCTAAGCAAATCTGCTAGTTGCTCTGCTTGCCCTTTTGCCACTGAATGTGGTCCAAACCTTCAATTAGGGGAGAAACTGAAGCTCAGGAATGAGTGAAGTTGGACACTATAGCCAATCTCTCCACTCAAGTTGAACAGTTTTCATTTCTTTGGACTCCTGAACCGTTTTAATTGCTAAACAGAGGTTACCATTGGTTGTATTGCCAAGCGAGCATTCCCGAGAATCGTCAATTTAGGTTTCGTTTGTTTCGCGAAAAATGAATGATTTGTAAATTATTTTCTTAAAAATAATCGTTTATATCACATGTTATAACGCCTATATCACGTAACATGAGCACGCTCGCTTATCTCTTGAGAGCACAAACTATCTCATTAAGGTCCTTAATAAAGATGAACGAAAATTAGATGTCAAAGGTTCAAGATTTTAAGAGAGGGAAATAATAATTTGGTGGGACTATTTAACTTTGCCCCAAATGTGAGTAATTAATAAAATCAAGTAAATCTAATCTCCTCAAGTGAATGAATGTTGGGAGCGCAGCAAAACCCAATACTTTTGATGGAGAGACAACAAAAAGAGCTCAATTCGAGCCCGTCAACATATACAGTCGGACTTACCTTCACTCATAAAGTTAAATTGATGAGTTATGGGCCGACCGGGTTATTCACTGCTCCACGTCACGTCAATTCCACACGTGCATCATCTCATCACGAACTTGTCCAAAAATCAAGACAGGCGCAATAATGGAATCTCAATTAATGGTTTGTAGCTTTAGTACAAACGAGTCCTTGGCGATCACCGTTGCAATTCATATATATCTGAAACCGCAAGAATTCCATCGTTACTTTCGAGCATGAAAAGCCCCGTATAAATGGGACAATGCCTCATGATCCATTTTGATGCTTTATTTTGACTATATATATATTTTAAGAAATTCCTTGGAGACATCGAACTATTAAAATAAAGATTGAGTTTCAAGTGGACAGTCCATTCAGATTTGTACTAAGGACTTAAAGACTTGGGAATCAATCTACAAATAATAATAAAAAAAATTGAGTAGATCGAAACTCTGTGGTTGAGCCACATTAACTTAAAGCTCCATGCCCTTTCGCTTTACTTCATGTTACTCAAAAAACCAATTCATTTTGCATTGATTAGATATAAAAAGGGCCTTATTATTTTTTAGCATTGATGTTCATAAAAAAATTAAAATGGGTTCATATAATATAAAAAAGGGTCGAGCGAGCCTAGGCAAGCTCCATTGGGGGGGGTACAAAAGGTTCAAAACAATAGACCTAATTAAGTTATTATAAGAGTTAATACCACTAAAAATCTCAAAGTGGTACATCCATGCCACATTTACACCAAACTAACTTTTGTGTCACAAAATTCCTTAATTGGTACATCCTCGCCGCATTTACCCCAAAAAATCCCAGATTTAACAATTTGGGTTAAATGTGGCACGGGTATACCAATTTGAGGTAAATGTGGCACGGGTGTACTAGTTCGGGAGTTTTTGACATTTTATGATACAAAAATTAATTTGAGATAAATATGATATGGATATACCAATTTAAAATTTTTGGTGGTATTTCACACTCCTAGGGACTCAATGCTCAAAAGTGAACACATAAGTCAAATCTGGGCAGAAAAGCTTAGTGGGAAGAAGAAGCCATATGTTCACCACCACCACCACCAATAAACAAATCTAATTGCAAGAGGACCAAAGCCATTATGTAGGCTGAACTATCGGTTAACATTCACAATTATAGTTCTGAACATGAATCATGATTCATGGAAATGACAATGGATTTACATGAAGTCGTGAACTCCACTTGTGATGAGTTTCTAAGCAATGCGCTCGAGACGCATGGACTTTTTAATGACCGTTTAAGCTTTTGAGAGAAACAGGTACCCATCGCTATGTAAGAGATTCAAGCAAATCATGTTACAGGCATATTGCTTCTATTGATTACTTCAGTTTACTGCACCTATGTCATTACGTGACATTGTGAAGTAACCATTCCGCGTTGCACGCGTACAGTGCGGTTCACATGCTAAAGGTAAATGCTAAGAGTGAGTTCAGTTTGCATTCCATACATAGTTTTGTGACCCGTCTTTTGAGACAGTCACATATTTGTCCGGAATTTTTATTGTTAGGTGATGCAAATGACAAATTCATCAGTGATTACTAAATTTTCGTGAACTTTTATGGTTAGTTCATTGAGAGTCGAATTCAATCACATGATGCACTAAACTTTTATTTCTTTGTGGTCCATACTTTTCTATCGGAATCTGGCAAAATTTCTCGATAAGATGCTGACGTAGCGGGCACATTGCCAATTTATGTGGATGACACATCACTGTCACGGGACCAATGGTGTTGGCATTTTGCCAAATAGAGATTATTGTGAATATAAGGTTGGTCTTGTAATTTGTCGTGACATTGCATGTAGCATGATCAAGAAAACTAGTTAATCAAATTGGTAGTCGGAAACACAAAATTGAGATTAAAAAACTAATTACTTATTGCATATTGTATGGTACTCTGCATGATTTTTGTTCGTAGTCCGTTTGGATGATCTAAGCAGCTTGAGGAGCATCCTTGCCTTCATCTTGGTCGTATCACCACACTGGCTCTGTAGAAGCAGCAACACCTGAGTCAGAGCTCCTGCTTTTAGTGCCGCTTCTCTTGCCTCTGATGAATCATAGCACAAGAGGATGAGTGAGTTCACTGCACTCTCACTGTCTTCATGATCCGATACTCTGAACAACGTCTTGACCAGAGCACTCGTTATGCCCTGTGGGTCATCAAGAATTGCCTCTTTTGCCTTCTCAATTCGTAGAAGCTGCTCGAGCAATCGCATCGCCAACGGCGCTGATGATGCTCTCTCTTGTGTCTTGGCACGTAAAATGTATGCGAGGAGTCCATCAATTAGGCCTTCTCGCAGCAAGATTTCTCGGATTGATTCCAGAGAGCATAGAGACCTTATGGCCTTGATTGCCGCCTCGGAGACCTCGGGATCTTGATGGAGGAGGAGGATGATCCCACGCAAGAGTTGGAATCTATGGCCGAGCTTAGTGAGGAGCTCTTTGGTCTCGAAAGACGATGACATTTTCTCGACAAGTCGACACAAACTAATCTTGGTTGTGACTGCTCCATGCTCGAATAGTGCTAGGAATGATGCCAATTTCGACTGTTCTTTGAGCATATTCAGACACTGAAGCTCACCAAGGTCCAACAGTTTCAATATACAAGATAGAGCTTGGTCCACAAGATGCACATGATCAGGACTCATAGCGGAAGGCGCTCTTGATTCCGCGTTCCCGAAAATTAGCTCCAACAACATCGGCAAGAATCCCAACCGGAGAAAAGCAGCACATTTCATGGGAGATTCCGCAGACAAAACGCGAACTCTGCCAAGCGCGTGAATCTTGTTGGCTAAGGTGGACTCAGGCGACTCAAGGCTGCGTCTCAAGGCGATGAGGCAACGGTCAGGATCAATTGTCTCGAAATGATCAGGGCCGGCTACGCAACCCAATCGGAGCCACTGCTCGATCAAATGCCGGAGAGTGTGGTTCGGAACAACGGACGGGTCGTGGAGCCTCTGCATTGTGACTGGGCAGGTGAGGTTACCAGCAGCGAGCCACTTCTCTATGCTTGGCCGGTCATAGGTCTGGCCTGTGCACAGAGTGACCGGGTCAGTGAACAAGCCTAGGCTAATTGGGCATCTGAACAAATGGGGAACACCCATTTCTGGGTCTTCCATGAGGGATTTGGATGAGCCCAAATTGTTCAATCTTTGAGAAAAAGCAATAAAAGAACCCAGAAAGATGGGGAAAAAAGACCAGAAATGGGCAATCAATTTGTGAAGAAGCAGATCATAGGGGCAATCCGGAAACAAGGAAGAATGAGAAAGGCAGTATTGGTTCAGAGGCAGTCAGATGAAATGAAAACAACAAGAAACAAGCACTAGATGAGGAAGTCCAGGACAGGATACAATCCACCCAAAAAAGATTACAGCTAAAATAATACAGAAAAATTGTGGGACATGCTCTCTCTCTCTCTCTCTCTCTCTCTCTCTCTCTCTCTCTCTCGTATAAGGGAATATTTATGAATGCAGTTCAGTCAAACTGACCCACCTAGAAAGAGTTAATGGGGCATTGTCGTTGAAGTTTTAATGTGCCCCACATTAGTTGAAAGAAGGATGGGGCATGATGTGTTTTTTTGAAAGGAGAGCTGCTGGTTCCCTTGAGTATGATGAGATGTGCAAAAGCAATCATGCAATAGGAAACACCTTGTGACCAGGGAAAAAAATAAAATCGTAACATCGATCTTTGAGCAACGTTGTAAACAAAACCAATAACAATACATGAATTGAGTGAGAATTTTCATTTTTGAGTGCATCTCACAGATCCTTCTTATATGATTGGCTTGGTATAATAGAACGGGTTTACATAATACTAAATCATAGACTGGACCTCACTTACTCATCAAGCCATGGTTGTTCTTGTCTAGAAAGGATATGATAATTACGCACGGGTCCACAACAACGGATAGTATTTCTTTTTCAACAACAATCTAGTAATTTTTGTTGATGATCAAAATATTAGACCTTAATTAAATTTTTTCAAGCGATATAAATATTTACTTTTTAGGAAAATAGTTTTTAAATTATTGATTTTTCGTCAAACAAAAGGATTGAATAATTGAAAGTTAGACAATTATTCATTTGCTTTTCGGGAATTGGAAGAAAATGTCGCTTTGAAATTTGGAATCTTTGAAAAAAAGTTACGCTTCAGATTTCTAGAAACTAGGGAGAATTTCACAAACGATAATGTGCTGACGTCTTGGCTTTCAGCTTTTTCTATACTTCTTTTTGACACAGGAATCTTCATATTGGGATTGAAATTACTGCACAAAAGGAAAAAGTGTTACATGTGCATGCATCTAGAGAGGGGAAAAAAGGATAAACCAAGAATAGAATTCCATCAAGTGGTCTACGCAATCACTCTTTTGAATGCCCACACCTAAATTCAAATTTTGCTTCTTGTCAATCTATGACCAATTTTCAGTTTGCATCTGGTTTCAATTTAGCACATGACTTGATTAAGAAAATCTAGTCCTCGAGGAATAACTAAGAATAGGATATTTTATATTTCAAAGAAAGAAAAATTGGTTCACTAATCTCTCAATTCATAATATTGCGCAGAGAGAGAAGAATTTATAGAACATCGGTTCCAGCTATTGATTATCGATCTGATCGGTTTGAGGAACTTGGTGTTCAATTCGGATCACAAATTGAACTGTTAACAAGATCTAATTTAGCGACCCGACTTTACTATGTATATATTTTGTAATTTCAAGGTTAACTCCTCCAAAAAAATCTTTGTCCTGTGGGACATCAACACCCTAAACTTTTTTTTTTCTCGCAAATATCCCAAGCTTGTACTAGTGACTCAAAAATATCCTCTATCAAAGTTCCGTCCATAATGACCGTTTAAAATCCTACGTGGCGTTGCCCACACATGCTACCATATTGGATTTTTAACTACCATTATTGATGAAACGTACTTTTGGGTCACTAATACAAGTTTAAGGTATTAGTGAGAGGTAACATGAAAATAAGTTTAGTGTTTTTGGTGGCTTTAATTTATTTTCATTGTAATGTCCATTAAAAGTAACCGTTAGTGGAGTTTGAACACGTTAATGCACATCCTATCAAACCTTCGGAGGTAGTCACTAATCTCTTTCGGGAGTTTTGTGACACAAAAATTAGTTTGGGTAAATGTGACACGGGTGTGTCAATTTAAGGTTTTTGGTGGTATTAGCCCTTAAAAGAATTAAATATTTAACAATCACTGGTTTAGGATTTTGGTGGCTTTAAATTAGGAAAAGAACTGTGACCCAATATATATCGATGGGGATATTATATTTTAATAATGAATAGGAGCATCATTATCATCATGGTAATAAAGATTTTGGGATAAGAACATTATAAGTGTCATTACTTTCATATGTCGTTAACTTGAGTGTCATTATAAGTGTCATAACTTTTATTTCGATTGCTTGAGTGCCTTAACTTCTAAAAAACGTTCACTTGAATGCCATAGCTTTCAATTGATCACTTAAGTGTCAAAATTTTTCAAAATGTGCACTCAAGTGTCGGAAATCTAACATGGCATAACACTTATAGTGAATGTTTTTAAAAAGTTATGACACTCAAGTGATCGATTGAAAAGTCATATGGCACTAAAGTGAGTATCGTACATAAGTTATGGCACTAAAATGATCGAAAAAAAAAGTTATGGCACCCAAGTGAAAGCCATATGAAAGTCATGACACTTGTGGTGTCCTTATCCCTAAAAGTTTTCATCACCATAATGATTTCCCTCAAAATTGATATAATTAATACCTTGCTCCACAGTTATGATCGGTGCCCCAACTATCGGAAGTTGGGATGGCAAAGAATGGTCGGCATTAGTGTTGATCACTCCTTCAGGTTGATCCTCCTAACATCAATATTGGCATTGATGTTAGTATAGACCCCTCCAATGTCTTTACCTCCAACTTCAAGGTTAGGCATGTTGATTGAATCATCTGTATAAGCATCGGCATCAACATCAACGTGGCTAACAATGTTCTCTGGATCAAGTGCATTATGTGCAATGTCGACGTCTGCTATAACACTGGGCAAAGATGATAACACCAACTTCCTACGTTTCTTCAAGAGGGCAAAATCTCTTTGCACACTTCTTCCTCTTACCTTTTGTTGAGTATGTCTTGAATTTTGTTTCGGGTATTCGATCCAAATTGAGTTTTGATACCCGTGTTCAAATTTGTGGCGACCTGACTTGAGAAAAATAAATGGAGTTTTAGTGTTGGTAACATAGGGCTTGGGCTATTAGACCCAAGCCCGTACCCAACACCGGAGCAAGTATAAATATTGTTTTCTCAAGTTATTAGGTTTAAAAAGTATAGGCAAAAAGAGCCTTAAGGTTTTTGAGCCACTTTTTGTAATCATTGAATTTCTATAATGGATTTACTTCTCCTTTCCCCGTTTTTTTTCCTGCAAGGGTTTTCCACATAAATCTATGTGTTCTTTTATTCTTCTTAATTTTAATTTCATTGTAGTTTTTGCATTGGAGCCATAGGGTTTTTCAATCTTCTAGTTATGGCTTCAAATTCAACAACAAAATTTGATATTGAGAAGTTTGATGGGAGTGACAGTTTCAATCTATGGGAGGTTCATATATTAGCTGTTCTTACGAAGTTTTGAAGAAAACTCTATTTGGGAAAGGAAAGAAATCGGAAAGCACGTCAGATGAAACCTGCGTAGAATTTGGTGAAGAGGCTACGACTACTATCCAGTTAGTCTCACGAGTGAAGTTCTATAGGAGGTACTAGATCAAAAAAAAAAAAACTGCATGTTTATAAACGAAATTGGAGAGTATTTTTTGTTTGTTGATAAAATCCCTCACCAATCGATTCGATTGTGGATCATGCAACCACTCTTCACTCTTTGTATGGCTGAAGATGCTTCTCTTAAGTCTCATTTTTCTAAGTTCAATGTTATTATCTTTGAATTAAGAAGTATTGATGTTAAACTTGAAGGTGAGGATCAAGCTCTTTTATTGTTAGTTTCACTACCTCCATCTTATAAGAATTTTAGAGACACCATGATTATTAGTAGAGAAACTATTGATATTGAAGATGTCAAGACTAGTTTTCTAAATAAGCAGAAATTAGATTCATAATTGACTTTTGAAGGCAGTAATGATCATGGGGCTGGTTTAATTGTTAGGGGAAGGTCTATTAGGAGAAGCACTGGTGGCAAGAGCATGTCAAAATCGAAGCATAAGGGTCTGACTTGCAACTACCGAAGGAAAATTGTCTAAAACTGAAGGAAAAACATTAAAGAGAAAATAATCCTTACCAAAAAAAGAACATTAAAGAGAAAATAATTTGAATCAGCAAAATTAAGGGAATGCAAATCGGTAGAACAATCAAAATTATCAAAACAAATAGAATTAGGGAAACGAAAATCCCACTCAAATTGGTGTTGCTGAAGAAGAAAACGAAAATTGGTTATCAGTTTCATATGATAATGACAAATTCAGTGATAGCTGGATTCTTGATTTATGCTTTTTGTACCACATGTGTTCTAATCGTGATTGGTTCTCCATGTACAATGATATAATGGTAGAGTTATTCTAATGGGAAACAAAGCTAAATGCAAAGCAGTTGGTTTTGGGATTGTCATTATTAAAATGCACGATGGCATGATAAGAACCTTGGAAAATGTTAAACATGTTCCTAGTTTGAAGAAAAACCTCATCTCTTTGGATACTCTTGATGCTAACGGTTGTGGGTTTAAGGCTAAAGATGGAAGTATGAAGATTATAAGAGGTTCACTTCTGTTGATGAAATGGCTGAAAATCGGCACTTTATATCAGCTACAAGGCACTACATTTATCGATTCAGCTACAATTGCATCCGCTATAATAGAATCAGACATCACTAAATTATGGCATATGAGATTAATCAATATGAGTATTACAGGGATAGATGTGCTCAGTAAGAGAGATCTTCTATGTGGTTAGAAAATTGGAAAATTGGAATTTTATGAGCACTGTGTTTTCGAGAAATAGAAAAAGGATCAGTTTCAAAACATGAATTCACACAATAAAGGGCATTTTAGGTTATATTCATTCTGATATTTGGGGCCTGTAAAAGTTCCTTCGAAAGGCCTTGGATCAAGATATCTACTCACTTTTAGTGATGATTTTTAGAGAAAAATTTGGGTATATATTCTAAAGTAGAAGGATGATATTTTTGTTACATTTAAGCAATGAAAAACATTGATTGGAAAGCAGATCGGTAAGAAGATAGGCTGAGAACAGATAATGGGCAAGAATTTTGTGGAGACTAGTATAATGAGAAAAATGAAGGTATTGTAAGGCATCATACTAAAGTGAATACACCATCGCAAAATGGTATTGCAGAATGTATGAACAAAACCTTATTAGAAAGAACTAGGAGCATATTATGTAATGCTGATTTGGGTAAGGAATT